TATGGGTACATCGAGGGTGAAGTGCATTCATTGTCAGGCTCTCAGCTACCTAATCAGGGTCAAGCACTTGTCGTGAGACTCACGATAAGGACAGGGAAGGAGTTGTAAATTCAGGGCTCAGCACTTTACCAGTAAATCTTGTCGTCATTCGGGCGAAGCAGCCATGAAAAAGTGAGTATGTAAAGCAGATCTAGGCAGAATTGAAAATACACCAGCAATTGATGCACGAGAAAATTAAGTGAAGTATATTTCATTGGGAGTGATCGCTCCGTCAACCAACAATCAATTGTGTTTCAAAGGAAACAAAACCGACCGTTAGACTTGAATTTTGAGTGGTCTATTTAAGGAATAATTGAGATCGTTGATCATCACTATGAAATAAGATGCTCTTCTGAAGAGCCGTTGAGGCTCGGGAAATACAATTTCTCCCCTTCAGAAAAGATGTTTAGTCGAATTGAATGACAGCCTGTTCAAAAATATAGCACTTTGAAAATGTTTGGGTAAATATTAAACAACAATATTTAATAATAATTAATAACAGTAGCGACAATAAAATAATGTTTTCCTGCTTGTTCCAGGTTGTTTTAGGTGATGAAACCAGATTATTAGGGGTATGATAGACTGCGTCGGATGAAAGGCAAATTTGATGGAGTCGATCGGAACTATTGTGAGTTTCTTGGAATTCAAGCAGTCGAATGGAGAAAAATACCCAGTCGAAATCTGTTCGAAAAAGGTCGTTTAGTACACTTCGATTTTCGTGATTCCTTCTGAATAATCAAGTAGTTGTCACAGAAACGTCACCCATGGTCTTGATTAGTTCCACAATTAGTTTCGACAAAACTTTTCAGCAGTTAAGTTTGAAGGTATTTCGGAATGAGAGTGGCTCACAGAGACCTTACTGATTTAGTATTTCTTAGTGACTACGAATTTGGAGTGATAAATCGAGAATTGTCAGATATGTCACAGTTTTTCTACGAATAATTTTTTACAAAATAGAATTTTAAGTGATTTATTATTTATTAACAGACATGCTGTACGCGTATGAAATGATGAGTAACAGCATGACTATTGAAGAAAGAGTTGGGATCAAAAAACGAAATCCCAAACTGAACCTAACTACGTCAAAACAGCTTATTAATAGATTTTATAAAAGAACAATGGTTTGGGGGAATGGAATTATGGCCTTAAAGAGAATTAAAGCTTGCCGTAACTCTGTTACTGAAAATCTGCGAGTTACTTGGGTTCTTGCTGGAATTGTTGAAATCTTAGCTGAGGAACCTCGGATTAGAAAAAACAATTGTGAAAAAAGAAACACCCACCATGGTTACGCGATTTAAAATTTTGCATGCCACAGGTGTATGGAATTTTTCCTTCACCATTCAAGAGGCTTCAGACCGATTATCTTATTACGCTCAGTTCCACTAGGCATTTCAACTTACCAAAGTATAAATATCTTTTTCCTTATAGCGTGAGAAAACAGCAGATCCTCATTCCATAATGAGAGAGGGAACTTAAATCATTCCAACAAAGTAGAATTCTGAATAATTTCACTGCTTATCACTTCAGGAATGTTTGGCCAGTTCGATCACGAACAAGGACCTCCTGCTCTTCCTTCTTTAATTAGAGTTCCACTATGCAGAGAGGAGACCGAAGCACGACAAAGGTGGTTTTTGTATTTCTTTCGCTCGAACAGCTGGAAGTTTGTCTCTCGATAAGACCACATTTAGGTCAAACTTGCAAGGTCGTTAATTTAGTCCGCATCAATGTCGGCGAACATTACCAGCTACTTTTCCGTTTAGTATTTTCATACGTTATTGCTTTATTTCATCGTTGGCCAAGGTTTTAAGAAAATATGCCATTCCGATAAACACATTCCTAACCATCAGAAGAAACTGGGATAGTAGCAATGAGATCGGTCAAAGTCAGCGGTTCGGATGCACTTTAGCCTCTTTCACGGCTCTCTACCGCTATTCTTGAACAAAATGATGAAAAATGTGGTTGATTAAATGGCGGTTGATGTGTGCCCCTCGGTATTTTCATCGTTAGATGATGGCTGAGGAACAAAAGCACTTGTCAGAGTGCAATCCGACTAAACAGCTCCAAATTGCGAAAGAAATCAAATGGTATTCAGTGAGTAAAAGCCTGGACTCCGAGGATGAAGGGGCTATCAGATTTTCCTTATCAGGATACTCCCTTTCAAAATTTGGCCTAATGTTGATGTTCGCTGCACTCTTGCACTTCGTTCTCATTTTTTTCTGAAGATTCTCGTGAAGTTTTGCTGATGCTTATTCAGAGGGATCTCCTGAATGCTCATACTTGTTGCTCTCGCTACTCTTCTATGGACTTTTGTTCTGACAGGTACGTCAAGTGTGATAACTTACACCTCGAGCATGCTCTGCTTTGAAAATTCTCCTAGAGTTCTCATCTGAATTAGAATAAAAGGATAAAATGAGGAATGACGATACTATCTTTTGAGGTTGTCTTTTTCCAACGGTGTAAGGATGTGTTCTTCGCCGTTTTTTGATCAATAAACTGTGCTCATTATCAAGCAAGTTTGAAATGGTCTTCTTTTTCACATATAATCGTACAGGACCCACACTCGCCACAAAGCTTGAGCTTTTTCGAATATGTAATCAAGAAATAAAGAAGTAAAAAATAGGCTTTTTCATGACCACAAGGAAATGGTAATCGTAGTTTGTGCGCGCTTGGATCAGTTTGAGCTGACTTTATCCATATAATTTTTACAAATTGTTTTATGCCAGTAGTTTTTATCGCTGCCTGATTAGGACTGATGGCTGAGTTTGAGCTGCATTTGCGCTCAGGACACACAGGTGGCTAATTACAGCTAGCAGAGGTATCATCTCCAAGAACACTGGTCCACTTAAAGGTACAGTTTACGTCAAAAATAGCTTCTGAGATTTCTCCTTTGGATCAATCTCTAACCCCAAGTGTAGCCTGGAAGACGCTGTCGGGAAGAAAAACGAATAGGGCGCAATGATGGCTCTATATCATTCGTTCCGGGACCCACATCTTGCACGCAGGCAGTTTATTACAGCCAGCTGTATGCAATGGCACTCACATTTGAACGCCTCTCCAAATACCCCCTCCATTCAACTTCTGTCGTCACATTCTCGTCAAATCCCTAATACCTCTGTCTCTTTCAAGTTTATACTTCTTTAAAAAAGCGCAATTTTTTTTTTGCGGATTGGTCTATTCTGGACTATCACTTCCATTACTCGTGTATAACTAGATACCTCAAAATTATCGTTAACTGTGCCTTTGAATGGATATGGAATAGGATATCGCGCAAGCTACTTTCAATCTCTGGAGTTAATGGGAGCAATTGATTCCCCTCTGAATTGTAACAGAACCAGGGTGCCTGCCCAGCTACTGCTGGGCACCAATTCATTCACAACAATTGATTCAGCATCTCTGCCCAAAAATTTCGCACTTCGGACATTTCTTTAACTCTGTTTTGTGAAGAAGTGTAAAAATACCTATAGTGGGACTGTTCCTTTTTTTTGCCCATTATTCATAGCATATGGGGATGTGCGATGGCGTAGGTGGTGTAATGGCAAGTGGCGCACTATCTCACGCACGATCAAGAGTTCGAATCCTGGGTCGCCTAGGCCAACCAAACCTTCCAACCTTCCGGGGTCAGTCAGTTCGTACCAGACTCGTCCGGAAGGATAAAAGCTCCGACTTGTATATCGGCTGGCATCCCTCAGACGAGACTGATTAATGCCAAAAACTTTATCCTTTACCTTTTATGGGAGATGCATTCGTAAATAGACAAGGGCTTAAAGCTGATTTTTATACGGCCCTTTTAATAGGTATAATCTTTAACCAACTGTTTCATTCTGCATAATTATATTTCAACTGATCTTGGTCTGATCACTAGTAAACTGAGCTTCTAGAGCTTCACCAAGAATTATTAGCCATCTCCCAGTAAATATTCACGTCATGAGCGCCAAATATTTTATTATTATTTGCATATTTCAAAAGTCTGTAGTAAAACTCACGCCCACTAAGAATCGTTGAGAATTGGAGACACCTCAATTCTTATAGTTATTCACAGAAAGGAGAAGGTAGCGGTAAGCACGATCAGCCGAACTGGTAACGAAAGGGGGTGAGTATGGTTTTTTGTATCGATGCCTCCTTTCATAGACGTCTATTCAGATTCATTTTGGTTTCGGATACGTAAGAGTTTTACAGAGACATGATTTCCCAGTCAGAAAGTGGACAAAACTTTTGTGAAGATTGGATCAAGGATTAGGCTTCTAAGAGGGGCATTGGATGAAATGTTCGTCATCGGTAGCATGTAGGAGGGGTAAATTATGCAGCAGGTTTAGACAGAATGGGTGACCATTCATCTGATTGATGGTAAACGGCTTTGAATATTCTGGATGGACGCTTTCCCAAAAACAGTTCCTCCAATTAAACTACGGGATGATGATGTACATATATCAGCGGCGAAGGAAACGCCCGTTCAGCTAGTAGGAACATTTAGGGAAGATATCAGGGGAGGTGTAGTCGACAGTAACAAAGGTGCCACAACCTTGGTACCCAGCTTCTCACGAAAATAGTTTACCATCACAGTTGAATAGAGCAGTTGTACATCTGCTGCACATGACAAAGTTCGATTTGGTCACTTTTTTTGTGTGAAATGGTCTGCAGACCTTTCTACTAAGTTATTGTAGCAATTCGTACCGGCTGCCACACCGTTCTGCAGCATAGGAAAAGACAAAATGGGAGTGACTCTGCTCCTATAGTCTTTTCTGTCCCTGAAGAGAGTTGTCCGTTATGCCCGAAATCACCCATTTCATGAGCTTACATTGAGGATTCCCAAATGAACCACAGCCTAACGGACTCGCAGCTTCAAGACCTTTCTTTAAAGCAGAAACAAGCAATCTTAAGCGAGACAGTGGCTCCCATAGAGTTATGGAAACGTAGCCTTGCTAATTTTCTCGGATTCATTCGGGAAAAACCTTTTGAATTCAATGAATTCAGACGGAGCTGATGTAAATGGCAACCAACTCTCATCTATAGAACATGCCGCTACTATTACTGAAGGGCAGTCGAGCAAAGAACCACTAGAGATCTTACTAGAAGATGTGAGTCGAGGATTCTCTGAGTTGAGCTACGGACAAATGACTTTATTCTTTCAATTCAAGGTCTCAACGGAATTCCCTTCCCTCATGGAAAACTCTACTGATCCCGCCTCTTCAACTGAAAATGGTTTTTCATCTTTTGAAAGGTACGTACTGCTGCTGATTCGCGAGTCACGAGGGCCTGGGCTCGGCTTTGTTTACGGAATGTTTACCATTACTAGCTCACTTCAAAGTAAATAATGTAGTTCGGCAAGGTATAAAACAGTCGGAGGGACGGTACTTCATTCACATACGCATCGGTCGCCGTAGTAAATAGTGATATACACATGATAAGGTGTCTGCGGTGCCCACCATTCGAGGTTTTAATTCGTTACTTTTGTCTACTGAACCTGTTTACATCCTTG